TTCCTTACATTCTTGTTCATTGGTTACTCCCCTCAGGTAATTGGTTACTCCCCTCAGGTGTAGTCCCTGTAGTTTAAATTACTTTTAAAATAAACTATGTAAGCACAAAAACATTTTTTGAAAAGAATTAGTAGTACTGGACACACAACACTATAAATGTAATTAACACACCCATACAGTACATTTAAATATGGAAAAATAGCAAATTTTGCTGTGGACTGAATTGTATCCCCCCCAAATTCATATGTGATAGTATTTTTGGAGATGAGGTCCTTGGGACATTTAGATGAGATAATGAGGCTGGGCCCTTTCAGGTGGAGTAGGGCATTTCTAAGAGGAGCCTGGAGAGCTCCCAGCCCACCGCAACCCCCTTCAGTGTGAGGACAATGTGAGAAGAAGGAAATTTGCAATCCAGGAAGAGAGACTGTTACAGGGCAATCCTGATATAAAACAGGTTGCCTGTCTGTGGGACCTCACCTGCACGCTTAAAGGGGACTTAAACTGCAGGCACACACAAAAGGTTAAGGAAATGTTTATTTACAAGGGAAGGGGAAATGAGGAAATGTAGAACTCAGGGAGAAAAGAGGGAGATAAATTCTTAAATGCGTCCTACCCACTCAGCTGACCTGGAATCCCAAATGACTGGCTGAGACCAAGCACTACCTGGCCAGGAGCTGTGAAGCCAAGAGAGAGAGAGAGAAAGAGAGAGAGAATGCGAGCCCCACTCACATGGCCGGTTAAATACACAAACAGAGAAAATGGCTGTTTAACTCCACCCTCAAGTCCTCGCAACTTTCCCTTTGGGCATCATGGGATTTGTAGTTCCCAGTGTCTTGATGGAGTGGGGGTGTAGTCCACAAAGATGGAATGGAGTTTGCTCAGGACATCCTTTCCCCCTAACAAGACCACCAGTAAATGATTCTGCTGAGCTTTGAGCTTGGATTCCCAGCCTCCGGAGCTGAGAAATAATTGTGTTGTTAGCCCCCAGTCTGAGGTTTGGTATTGCTGACTGAGCTGACTTAAGGCATATTATGTTTTTTATGTATTTGCCACAATAAAAGAAATTCAGTTATACTCTTAAATGCAAGCAACAAAGGGAAACATTAAACAAAAAAAATTACCATTTACAACAGAATGAAAATATATAAATCACCTAAGTTTAATCTAAAGGAGGTTACTGGCAGGCGGCAGTTAGGCCTGTACCCAGTGGTCTGCAGATACCACGCCACACCTGGAGGCTTCTCCTCCAACATCTGTGCCTTTCATGTCCTCAAAAGATCTAACCAGCACAAAGGACTTTAAGTAAGCCCCAGTTGCCTCACCTTTTCCATGGCGGATAATAATAGACTTGGGTGAAAACTTTAATAGTTGTTTCTGAGCAATGACAATGAGTGATTTATATCTTCTCTTGCATGCATTTCCATGCTCCCCAAATTGACTATTCAGAATGTATTATATGTTACATAATCAGAGAAAAACATTTAACAGTTTAACAGTTGTTAAATATACATTTAGAAGTTAATCTTTTTTCTAATTCCCCCTTCATCCCTATTCAGATCTGCATGGTGGCCTGTGAGAACATCCAGCAGTTTCCATGGTTGAGACTTTCTGTGCTTGGGTTCCTGCTGCATCCTGACTCCATCTACACCGTCATCCGCTAGACTTCATACCCCCCTCCCCCACTGAGGACTTTTAGTGGTTCCTGCTGTCCTCCCCATGAGACCTCCCTCCTGGGTAAGGCTCTCAACACTGGCCCCCTGAACCCCCTCCTGGAATCATCCTGTCATTGTGCCACCTCTATGTTCCTCCTGCTCTTGAGATCCTTCCCTACTGCAGGTTGGGGCAGTACTCCTCCATTTACTTTTCTCCACTGTGCCCCAGGCTGTGACACACACAGCTATGACTGGGAGTGGAAGCTCAGCTAACAACCTCGGGGTCACTACTGTGAGGTGTTCTGCAACTCTTGAAGCCTCATTTTTTCACCAGAAATTGCAGAAATTACTGTCTATGTGATGAACCTGGGCTCAAGTCTCCACAGAGTTATTTGTTAGTCATATATTTTCAAGCCAGTATTTCCACTTAATAGATCTCCTTTCCTCATTAAAAATGGGTATAAGGGCCTCCCTTGTGGCGCAAGGAGTTAAGCACTGTACTAGGAAGCAATGGGTGGCCTCTGCAGCAGGAGTACGATCCCTCGCCAGCCAGGGAGCTACCCACATAGCACAGCAGACCTCTCCTGTCTCTCCCCCTGCTCCCCTCAGCAGTGTGTTTCAGCCAGTCTGACTGTTCTGCTCCCCACTCTGTCTCCGGTGAATCCTTTTCCCCTCCTGCATCTCTGGACTGTACCCCAGTTCTTATATGCATAAATAAATAAATCTTTTAAAAAATATAAATAAATTTAAAAAAATGGGTATAGGTATGGTAATCTGTTTATCCTTTTATTCATACACGTAACTCGTCATTGTGTACCTGCATCGGGCACTGTGCTAACAGACAGACATACTAAGACCTGATGGGCACACAGGCACACTTGGGGGCACCTGCCAGGCAGAGCAAAGACCGGAAGATCTGGAGCTGCTGCTGCTGCCTTAGCCCCGGGCAGGATTCACTGGCTCCGCCCAGCCCTGGGATTCTTCACCAAGTCCTGAAGGCCTGCGGGTCGCCTCAGCATTTCTTTTCCAGTTCTATTGAAAAATAGTTGTCATACAGCACTGCATGAGTTTAAGGCACACAGCATGATGAGTCGATGTACACATAGCACAGAACGATGACCACAAAAGGTTCAGTCAACATCTGTTCACACACTGCTTTGTGGTTGCGCTCAGAGCGTCCCTTCACACCTAAGCGGAGGCAGGACCTGTCCTCAGTGACTGATGTGCTGAGGACACAGAGGGGGGCTGGTCTCCTCTCCTGAGTGTCCCTATTCCCCCACACTTTGTGTCAGCTCAAATGAGTCACAAGTTCCACTAGGGGTCTGATGAGTGGCTCCCCCCAGTCTGATCTGTTTACCATTGATAACAAGAAAGAGCCCCAGGCAAACACTGGGGGTGGGCAGGCTGGGCCCTAAAGGCAAACCTGGGTCCCTCTGCAGTTAAATGCAAAACTCTTTTTGTAAGACCTTTAAGTAAGAGAGCAAGTGACAGGAAGCTGAAAAAAGTAGATTAACAGCAGCTTTGTCACCCCTACGCCATCAGCCCTTTTCCTTCCTCTGCAGCCTTCAGATCTTAAGCAAACGACTAGAGAAATGACGACCCATTGATTGTCCTGTTTTGCTGGCAAGACAGTTTCCCTTTTTCTGCAGTTTCCAATTACAAAGTGAATATTTTTGAAAGCTTATTTAACATAAGAAATATCACAGTGTCTGGGATTTGTCTTTAAAAACTACAAGAAAAAAGTGGTGGGGAGATGAAGGACGTACGATGGGCAAATTTAATCGTCAAACTGATTTTATCAGTTTATTTATTGGATCATTGTCCTAGCTTTTGTGTACGTTGGAAAGTGATCACATTACCAATTTTGATAAAAGAAACTGTGGGAGGGAGATTAGATTTTAGATACTACTTTTAAAACTTTAATATTATCAAAAAGGTTTACATTCAATATCATCTCTAAACTGTTTCGAAACTTCTTATTCAAAGGCATATAATATTTTAGCTAATACATGGTTTTATTCCCATTCAGCTCATACAGAAGTTTCTATTGATTTGAAATCACAAAATGCACGTTTATATATAACTACATACTGCAATTAGCATTTAATAAACACTCAGTGTAAAAGTGTTTTTCTCATGACTGCAGTCACAGATCCATCTCTGAACGGGTGAGAGACCATCCCCCAATGTTGTGCCCCCTCGGGGCCCCTATCTGCTCAGAACCCGCCCCAGTGAAGCCTCAGCTGACAGCCTCACCAATTCCCTGTTAGTTTATTTAACAGCTTATTTAATAAACGTCACATTTAGAGGTTTAAAAAATGAATCAGCGCTAAAGACCATTTCATCCTTGGAGGGACATGCTATTTTGAGAAAGCAGGTGTATATTAAAAATCACAGAATACTTGGCAGCAGAGTTGTACATTGGCCTCTTTAGTATTGATAAAAGGGCCCAGTCCTAATTTGGCAACTAGAAAAATGGAGACTGAGAAAGCTCCCCAAAGGCCCTGATTCTACCCCCTTCTCGGATCCCTCTTCAGAAGGTGGCAGGTGCCACTGGCGCCCTCAGGGTGGCAGGTGCCACTGGCGCCCTCAGGGCACACCCACCCTGAGCTTCTTGTCATGCATCTGCCTTTCATGTTTTCCAAAGATCTAAGTGACTGAACTGCTAAGCCTCAGCTGCCTCCCATTTTCATGGCTATATAACAGAGCCTCTTCAGAGGGATGGTGAGTGAAATGGTACTATATGTGGCGCATTCACAGAGAGAAGGCTCTGTCTGCTGAAATGATGCATTGTCAGAAAGCAGGGATTGAAATGTCTCTCTTTATGTGCATGCAACTGGCTCTAAATATGTGGGACCTATGGGTGGATATGACATATGGCTGGATGTGACCCAGTGGGTCCCTCACAATCTCCCTGCACCACAAGAAGTATGTAATATAAAACTCGTGTTGTCCTGTGGAAAATTTTTGTTCATGTTGGGATTTTAATCTTTTGGGTTTTGTTGTTTGTTCTGTTTTCAGTGAGGGAAAGGCTTGTTGCCTTGGTCGCCAATGTTTGACATCAGGGCTGACCACTCCCGCTGCTATCAGCGCAGTAAACACTGCTGGGGAGAGTCAGCGGTGTCTCTCTCCACCACAGAGCCAGCCTGGTGTCATTGAGGGGACAGTCCTTGAGGCTCCACACAGTCCCTGCCGGTCACAGCAGGCCCCTGCCTATCTGGCTTCCCAACAGAACCCAGAGGTCTGCTGTCTTACATGGCTGAGGTGGAGGGAAGGAAATCAGTGCATCTATTATACCGATCCACCTCGTGTCTGGTGAAGTTCCTTCCAGTACTGGAGTAAAGATTCCTTCAAATACAAAAGCTATTCAGACTCAACTTCCTTGGAAATTGATCTTCAGAGTATCCATGAGAGGAGACTTGTACCAAACGGTCGGTGGGAAAATGATCCAGAGCTGCCCAGTTAGGTAAGGACAGAGATGATTCAGATCTTAGAGCCAAGAGGAGTGTTTGAAAGCCAACAGAATAAAATGCAATAAATGAATGATTGTTACTTTTCATTTGGGGATATGTGGACTCTCTGGGTCTCAAATCCATTTAAAGGATGACAACATTAATCAAAATGTACAAGTTAAAAATGAGTGCATGATATCAAGTGTACTTTAAATATTCTATGTAGTTATGTTTATATAGTTTTGTGTTTTATATAGTTATGTGTTTATATGTTTTTATATAGTTATGTGTTCAGATGATCGCATTATGATTTATACTTTATGAATTTTTGCTTATTGCTTTTGAATTTTTTGAATGTCTTTAAATTTAAATTTTCTTTTAAATATTCTAGACTTCTGGTTGTGATCAGCTTGACATTACAGATCATCCATTTGGGAAACAGTAAGAAACATTTTTAGTCTTTTAGTTTTTATTGCACATTTGTTTCTCAATCACCAGTTTGATATTTTCACTCTTTCTAAAAGGCTCTCAAAGAGAAAAACACAAAGGCAGCAGAGAAGAAATCCACAATGCTACAGATCAGAAGCTCGAGCAGACAGCTCTCACCTGGACGTCCGCTGTTCTGGGAACCCGCAGCCCAGGGGCCGGATGGAAGAGGCCGAGTTCGCCTCCCGAGTTCCCGGAGCGTGAGTGCCCCAGGGTCACAGAGCCTTGAGGTGCTCTGCTCGGCCTGCTCTGAGTTTAGGATCTGAAAAAAAGAAACCTGGGCTAAATTAAGGATAAAACGGGAATCCCAGTAAAGAGCATATTTCATATCCAACGAAGTTTTAAAAAACCCCGAAGAAGTGTTCTTAACTCCGAACAAAAAATTACCATTTCATTGGTAAACGTTGCATTTGCCTTAAAAGATGTTTTCACCGAAGATTAGTTTTATGCGTTTTACTTTTAAATGGCCCAGAAAACTGTGATTTGAATGTATTTAAAACAAAGATCCCAGGCCAAGAGCGATCACTGTGGGCCCTTTTTCGGCTTTTTGCAGACTCTCAGGCGTCAGACCCCACGTCCCCAGGGCACCCTGTCGGGGGAGAGAGGTGGGGGAGGCTGAAGGGCTTTTTTTCTTTAGCGCCTTGGCACCCGTGGGTGGTCCCCGCCGCGGAGGCCTGTCTTTAATCACCGTCGCTGGAAGCCGCGGCTTTAGCATGTGAAAGAGGGGGGGCGTGGGCCCTCCCCCAACCCGAGCTGCCGCAGCCCCGCGGTGACATCCACAGGCGGGTCTACCTGAGCAAACACACCTCCAGGGACCTAATTTTATTGCTTCCCGGGGAGGTCTCGCCGGCCCTCCCAGGCGGGTGGAAATTGGGGGGCCCCGCGGGCACTGGGCCGGACTGATGTCTCCTCCCCCAGGTGCGCCCCCGGCGCGGCGCTGCTGCAGCAACGGCGGCACGTGCGTGCTGGGCAGCTTCTGCGTGTGCCCCGCGGCGTTCACCGGCCGCTACTGCGAGCACGACCAGAGGCGCAGGTGGGCGCGGCCCGGGGCTGCCGGGCGCGGGGGCGCAGGGGGCGCGCGGGGGGTGCGCGGCGCAGGGGTGCCGGCGGCGGGAGGAGGGTGCGAGGAGACCCCGGGGCGGGGTGCGGAGCTGTCAGGCGCGGGGGCGCAGGGGGCGCGCGGGGGGTGCTGGCGGCTGGAGGAGGGTGCAAGGAGAGCCGGGGTGGGGAGTGCGGGGCTGCCGGGCGCGGGGGGGGGGCGCGAGGGGACGGGACGCGCCCTTTTGGCGCCGCGGGGCTCGCGGAGGGCGCGCGGGGGGGCTGGCGGCGGGAGGAGGGTGCGAGGAGCGCCGGGGGGGTGCGGGCGGGCCGCGCTGACGCCGGGTCCCGGTCCCTCCCACCCAGCCAGTGCGGGGCCCTGACGCACGGAGCCTGGACCTTCCGCGAGTGCCGCCTGTGCCGCTGCGTCTTCGCCGCGCTGCGCTGCCTGCCCCGCCAGCCGCCCGGCCGCTGTGGTAAGGGCGCCCGCCGGTGCCAGGGGCGCCGGCCCCCCTCCGCTCTCCCCGAGCCGTGCAGACCCCCCGCGCCGCGCAGAACCGAGCGTAGGGTCGCTGTTAGATTAGCGTTTGAGCTTTCATGTTTCAGTTTCCCATTTCCGAAGTCTTGGGTGTGCCTGATTTCCAAATAAGTGACTTTTCTAGCCGGAGTTTTGGCGCAGGACACGATTTAGGGAGCGGAGCTGAACTCGGCGGGGGTCAGCTAAATCCGGCGACATCTGCAGAGATTCCCGGCACCGCCCACACGGCCTCTTCAGCTGTGCAGCTGGAGAGCTCTGGACAGCGAGAGAACAGGTCTCTGCAGAGTGGGCCGGCCAGGCACCTCCTCCAGGGCCAGCCCCCGCTGGACGCCCGGCCCGCCTGTCAGTGTGCGCAGGGAAAGAAGGTGCCTGGTGAGCGCAGCGCAGGCCTGAGGCGTGTTCAAGGGGCGCAGGGTGTGGAAGCGCAGGGGTGGACACTCGCTTGGGAAGGTTCTAAGCCAGCACGGATTCAGCAGAAATGTTCCCCTCGTAATGCTCAGGAATATGAAGTCAGCAAAAGGGTGTTGCTCTGCTGCTGAATCATCTTGTGCATGGCCCATGGGCACTCGGAGAAGGCACATTTCAGTCCCACATCCTGTGCCCAGTCCCCTCTCCCATTGGCTCTGGCTGGGTCAGTCTGTGAGGACCACAGTGAAGGAAGGTGCAGCCTTTCAGCGCTTGCTGGGTTCTGGGTGGGCATGGCTGTGCAGCGCCAGCTCCGTGATGTCATAGCCCCTAAGCCTACTTCTGGCTCCTCTCTTCACCCCAGGCAGCCCTGGGCAAATCCAGACAAAATGTGCATATAATGGGGGCACAACGTTGCAGCTTCAATTTCCACCCCTTTGTCCGCTGCCAGGACTGCAGTGGTCTAGAGCGCTTCAAGCCAGCTTCCCACCCCTGCCCTCGGTGGGGTCAGTAGAGGAGGACACTAGCTTGAAACTCACTCTCCTGCTCTTCCTCCCACCTCTTCACCCTCCCTAGGACCAGCAGTCAAGAGCCGCTCTTAATGACTGTGAGTCCAACAGAACTGTCTGCCATCCTCAGCTCTGTCCTGCTGCTGAGGGTGGGGGAGGAAGGTGTGTGCTGTAACAGAGTATGCTGCACTCTGCCCGTCTGCCGAGGACTCACCGCTTTACCCACAGTCTTCCTTCTCCTACTTGGCTCTTGACTTACTGGGCTGGTGTGTCCCATTCACTAGCTGCTCCTTCTCTGCCCCAGAGAACGGACACAAAATTCGGGAACAGACATAAGATGTGCTGGTGGGGCCTGGTGGACCTGCACGTGGTCATGTCTCACTTGCTGTGGTGCTCGCAGGGGGAGTGTGGAGACAGCTGTGGTCATCCCCGTTCTGTTAAGGCTGCCTGTGCAGAAGCAGCAGGACAGAGACTACCCAGGCTGTCACGATTTTACACACTCAGAGCCACCCAAGGATGGAACTGCTGGCCACTAACTACCATAACACAGTTACAGTGGGTCCAAAAGTTGCTTCTCAGCCACTTAGGAAAAATGGTGCAGAATTTCAGAGTAATTTGTCAGGTGCAGGAGGGCCCATCGTACCTTTGTGCAGTTTACCTGGTTCTGCTTCAGGGAGATGACAGTGGGGAGGTTGTGCTGCCAGTGACTGTGGTGACAGGAGGGGCACGGTGAGGAGGTAACTGTGGCCGTGGTTGTGAGGGGAATGCTGTGAATGATAGTGGCTGTGCGGAGGAAAGTTTTGTGCACTCACGGATGAAAATAATCATGAGAGTACTATACTTTTCAGCAGTCAGTACGTTTTGGTCACTTTCTACAATTTTGACTCTGAAATAGTTATCCCGGGCTTTGTATTTGGGTAAACTGAGGTTTAGATTAGCTTTTTTTCTTGAGAGGTTGTAATTTGGAAACAACATGATATTTTATAACATTTAAGTTATTTTAAAATATTGTAAATAATTCAGATCATGGGTTGCTACTATGAATATTGATATAATGATAGTTCATATAAATTAATATTAATCTGTAAGCAAAATAACTATCATTACTGACTGCTAGATAAGCACATCCCTGCACTATGTCAAACACTTAAAAAAAACCACTTTTTATGTGGCAAGTATTCTTGGGACATATACTATCACCCCTTCAGGTATACAACATCGTGATTCAAGAAAGTGTATATTATGAAATGATCATCACAATAAATCTCATTATCAGCTAACACACACAGAGTTACAAATTATAATACAGGTACACAGTGAACAGCAACTCAACAGCCCTCAGCGATAAGTAAAGGTCTCTGTAAAGGTCAGATTGGGGTCAGGTCAAGCCAACCTCACATTTCAAACTCAATTTTAAAAATTACATTTCTGGCACAAACCAGTCAACCTCCCAGCCAGCAACAGAGCTCTGTGGGCAGAGCTGTTCCCGGGAGCTGCGGGAAGGAGGTCCTGGCCCACCGGCCGCTCCACTGTGGGCAGGTTGCGCGGGGAGAGCAGAGCCCTTGCAAGCCCTCCTGGGCTGTTCTCTCATGACCGGCACCCTTTGCCTGGTGAATTTCTCTGGGTATCATGCAGGAGAGGAACCCCAGGCTCACAGGGGCATCCCTGGGTATCTCAAGTTGGAGAGCTTCGGACCTCACGTTGAAACATGATGTTATCTTCATTGGGACAGGCTCCAAACTTTTTAGATCCCCCCATTCCATCAGTAAAAATATTTGAGCATTTTCTCTCCCGGGTAGTGGTGACACATGCCGTGCTGAGCAAATGCAAAGTTTATTTCACTTACTTTCTTTTCACATATGCACAAGATTAATATACATGATAAAAATCTCTGCTGTGTCTAAGTCTAAAAAATACACTTTGAGGAGTATATAATAAAATCCCAGGTCATAGGAAGTCATCAATCAGTAGCAATTTCCTTTTAGGTATGACATAAAATAATGGTGAGCCCTCAACCCATTAATTTCACAGATTCTGATTAAAAAAACAGTAAATATTATTAAAATTTATGTAAACTTTTCCCTATAAATAGTAGATGTTCCAATATTTCTCAGTGGATGACCCTGGTCCCCCTGGGAGGGGTCCACATGGAGCTCATGGCATGTTCAGGCCCCTCCTTGGGGGAGGACTGGCTCAGTCTAACCAAATTCACAAAGCTGACCAAACCACGGCCTTTGAGTTTCCAGACAAAAATTACTACCCATGGACTGAATCCTCTTCCTCACGGGCAGCTGGGTCCCTTTTACCAGCTGAAAATCAATTAGCAATGGCTTAGCAATGGCTGACACCAGTTCTCATCTGAATACCTGCTTCTCACACTGTGATCACCTGTCTCACCATCTGTCTAGATATTAGGGTTCCTGTTTTGTGGGACATTTTTCCCTCAAGATGAGGTGGTACAGGGAAGCTGTGTCCAGGTCTGGGTCAGTGCTCACCTCCATCCCTCCTGGTGGAACCCTTCCCCCTCCCCCGCCCATCTGTGCACAGGTGTACCGTGGGGCTCAGCTACAGCTGCTTTTCATCTTGTTAATTTCCAGTTTCATGTACATTCTCCCCTTCAGAGGGCACCTGCAGGAGGTGCCAGCAGTGCAGGGCTAGGCAGCCCCAGGAAGAGGTTTCAGCAGTTGGACCCTTCCTTGTCTGCTTACTCCCTGGCCCAGCCGACTCTGTATCCAGCCTGATTTGCCTGTAAAAGTATTTTCATGGAGTCAGCACCCCTGCAGTGGTTAGGCCTGTGGGGCGCGTCAGCTTCACATGGTAACCACACACCACCAAAGGTGTTAGCCAAGACCCCTGCCCACCTCCCTGGAGATTCCACTGAGCAACTCTGGGCTGGGTTCCCTTCCTTACAGAGAACCAGGTCATGGACCATTGGGGCACAGAGCAAAGCTGCTATGTTGGAGCCACATGGCACAGCGGGGGGCCCTGTGGGGTGTGGTGCTCCAGCCCTGCAGGGCTGTGGTAGTGTTCACTATAGTGACTTCCTCTGTGGACATTACCCGTCGCTGTTTGAGTGGGTGAGCTCCTGTTTAATATGCTGTCCCTGCTCAAAGAGGTAGTATTCGGACTACTTTGGGAACAAGTCAGCCTTTCTGTGCAGCCGATAAATTTTATTTGGTTGTATTTCAAGTCAGGCCTCTGTGGTCCTGGTTGACATGGTGTGGAGGTCTCAGGAGCTCACTTCGGTCAGCTTGTGTTGAATGACAGGGGCTGGAGGCTCTTTCTTTGTTAGCGTTAAAATAATAAATCTCCCTTCAGTTTTCCAAGTTTCAGAAAAATGCAGTTATTTCTGGCCACAGAGAAAGGAATATAAAAACAGGAGGTGGGCACTTCTCAGTGCACTGCCCTTCACCCCCAGCCTGCCTCCCACCGCCCAAGATCCAAGGTCACGCTAGAGAAGGACCTTTGTCAGAACAGGTGCAGACACCTCTGTGTCACCGTATTGATAGACACCAGGACACAGTGGCCTTGAATAGAAAATAACCTTGGCTAGACACAGTGAACCTGGATCAGATCTGAAATCCCAGGCGTGTGTTCCTCCCTGAGGGCAAACACGCCCACATCTTGCTGCAGCCTTCTTCGTCCTCCCGCCCTCCCGTCACCTTGCTCCTCATCATCTCTTTCACTCTTAAAACAAGCCGAGGCTGTGCGTCTCATAACTGTCTCTTGGAATCTCTTTTTCAGACCTCAAAGACCTTCTTGCGTCATACTCTCCCGGGTGGAGTGCACAGCACCTGCTGCGCGGCCTCCTCCTTCCCTGCCTCCTGCTGCAGCGTGTCCTCGGGGACGCCGGGTTGCTCGCCATGCTCTGAGCTCCTGCTCAGCAGTGCTGACCCCAGAGGCCTGGCACCGCCAGCCGGGGTGTGCTCTGTAGGAAAACTGGGACTTTGCATCCTCTTCAATGCTCTGTGTTGTAAGTGATAGGTTTGACTTGTTTCCTATAAACTGAAGCACTGGTTGAATGTTTTTATTGTTTAATAAACATTCTCATGAAAGAGATTTTTGTTTTCTTAAGCCTTATTCCCGGGCATATTATTGAGGCCCACATGAGTGAACACTAGAGGCTGAGGCCTATTCAACCCTAAATAGACCCCAATGATTTCTGAGTTTCCTGAGGATAGTGCCACGTAGATAACAGCTCCCCTTTGAGCACCCTTTGGACCCCACTTACACAGAGGCACAGAAATGTGGCATTCCATTCCCCCCCTCACTCATCTCTGAGGCTTTGGGATAAACAAAAATGCTCGGTAGAGAAAGAAAAGGGGCAGGAGGGGGAGGGAAGGCTGGAGGCAGACAGCCTGGCACCAGCCTCCTTTTCCTCTAGTTTCCTCTAACTGCCCCTGGTGACACCCTCTTCAGAGCAATTAGCACCTCATGGGATTGTCACCAATAAGTCTCCTAAGAAGGGGAGGATGCTACGAAGCAGAGCCCACTGCAAAGGCGAGGCAGGAGAGGATTGGACCCCACAAGAGGTTGCAGCAAGTCTAGCCCTCCTTGCCCGGATCCCAGTTATCTCCTGATAACCAGCCAGGCCAGCTGCTGAATCTGAACACAAATGTGTGTGAGGAAGTTGGGAAAAATAAAGGGGAGTAAAAGCCCCTTAGTCCTGCAACAGCGTGGGCCTTGTGCTCGTGAGTCGGGCATTTCCAGGCGGGTGTGTCAGGTGTGTCAGCCGCATAGGCAGAGAAGTGAAAACGAGAAAATTGCTCAAACAACCAAGTAAAATATGGGGGAGAGAAGGCGTGTGGAATCAGCAGTACTGCCTGAATCACCAAATTGTTGGATCGAAATACTAATATTTTATAACCCTTACAGGATTTCATTCAAAATATTCAAAGCTGAATTCAATGGCAAGACGCTCACAGGCTGAGGCTCACCTCCCATGTGACGTACAGCTGGTGCACCAGTGCTCTCGTGGGCACGCAAGCCCCTTTGGGTCAACACTGAAATCCTGCCCGGACAGCTCTCCCGGAGCTTAGCTGTGGTCATGACCCTCCACCCAGAAAGGCGCCTGGGGCAGTGGCTCAGGGAAGTGGGAAGTCTGCTGAATTAAATGTTTTCTATACCTCCCGCGCTCTCTCTCTCTCTCTCTCTCTCTCTCTCTCTCTCTCTCTCTCTCTCTCTCTCTCACACACACACACACACACACACACACCTGAGCCAATTGTTAGCTGGTTCATTGACAAGCCCTATCAGTGGGGAGTGGGGAAGAAGTGAAATGGTGCAAATGTCCCCAGTGACCCAGAACGCACAAGGATAGGCAGGGTGTGCTCAAGACCCCAGGCGGGAGAGGAAGTTCAACACGTGCTAACTTACACCATCTAGAAAGTTCACTGTGAGAGCACACAATTTAAATAGATGGCATTTCCCTGGAATTTTTCAGCTTTTTCAATCCTCTTGAGTTCATAAACCTTGTAAAACAATTGTTTAAAAAAATCTGTATTATAAATGTATCAACCTTTTCAACCATTGGCTATGAAAATATGAATTTTGATGTAATATTCTGATGAGTGTTAAAGAAAGAAAAAGTAGAATTCAGTAAAGGGTTGACTTGGACTTTTAGTCATGAAAAAAATAATTGGCTAGGTTTTGGAGCATAAATATTTTTGGGCAATGATGGCTTTTGGTAGCAAAGTTGCCTTTAGTGTCCCCGGTGCTCTATGCAGTGCCTGCTACAGCACTTTATTATTATGGAAACAAACCTGTGATAAACTTTGCAAATTTACCTTAAGACTTTGATGAATAATATATTCATACTATGTGTAGAATGTTCACAAAATACTTTCCTATATTTCTATGCCAGTATGAAGTGTGCTAAAAACCATAGCAAACGAAAAGATACATTGTCATTTTTGCAATTGCTACACTTAGAAAATTGAGCCTAGAGGAGCATTCCACATATGAGGAGATAATAATAACTTGCATTTTATTTTATTTTATTTTTTAAAAGATTTATTTATTTATACAAACACTGGGGTACAGGCCAGATGCGCAGGAGGGTGAGAGGATTCACAAGAGCCAGAGTGGGGAACAGAACAGGCAGACGGACTGAAGACACTGCTGAGCGGAGCAGCGGGGGAGGCAGGAGAGGTCTGCTTGTCATATGGGATTCTTGCTGGTGGCCGGGATCGAACCCGCGTTGCAGAGGCTGCGGACAGCTTCACAGCACTGTACTCAACACGCTGCGCCACGGGGGAGGCCTAATGATTTACATTTTAAATAAAAAATTTGGAACCAGGATTATGGGTCCTTTTAATAGAATATTTTTTGATTATAAGCAAGAAAACCAAAACAACCTCCCCTCTCTGTCTTTCTATCTGTCCCTCTGCCCATCCATCTATCTACTTAACAAACAAACTAATCGAGAAGCCATTAGCTACCTAACTCTGAAAAAGGCATAAAATCTTATCCAGTAATGATGAAAAGTATACACCACCAGGTTTTTCTATAGTGCTTGAAACATTTAGAAGTAAAAGGTGTTTTCCTTGTAAATGGCACCCAAGTAGCCAGAAAGATCATTAAAAAGTAGAAATTTATCAAGAGGCAAAAGGATGCTGGGCTGGGGGTTGGAAAGTTGACATAAACATAGCCTATCTTATCTGTCTCCTGCTGTTGAGAGCAGATGGGGACAGCCTCCTAGGCCCTATCTCAGGCTGCCCCACTCCAGGGATGAGACTTCTCACACCCCTGCTTTTACTCACCCTGACAAAGAGTGAAGGCACCTCCCTTTGAAGAAAGCAATTACAAATTCTTCCATTTTGGATTGTTTATAGGAGCCACTCTTTCCTTGCCAGCACCCTGGTGTCTCCCGGGAAGTCGGAGCTGTTCCCACAAGACCATGGGTGCTCTAAGGGACCCACCTCTTGGTCCCCATTGGGGGCTCAAGAACAGGGACACAGAGACATAATATACCAGTCATGTGGCTTCAGTTCCCTGGCTGCTCAGACCTGTCAGCCCATCCCTGCCTTTGAATTTCCTTCAGGGCAGAGCAATGCCTGCCGGGAGAGATGCCCTCTTCCCCCTTTCAGACACACCACAACCTCCCCTCTTCCAGCCTGGAAGCCCTGACTTTACTGCAAAAGCCAGTAAGCATTTCCATTTTCTGCTGTCTGCAGAAGTCACTGGTACATGAAGCTTTATATCATGCAGACAATAGTCCTATGATTGAACTTTCTAATGAGTTCAGCTTTGAATATTTAAACTTAAGTTCCAGAAGCTTTTTATGTACTTTCTTTTCTCATTTCACCTGGACTGTGTGCTCTTGGGAAGGGAAAATGAGGGACTGTGTCTCATGTGAGAACTGTCAGGCATCCCCTGATCTGGCCTATGGGACCCCATCTAGGTCCAAGGAAAGTTTGTAGCCAGACACGGCAGGCTCCCCAACAGCTGAACACAGCCACGCTGAGTGAGGGTCTGTGCCTGGGAATGTGTGCAGCCCCTCCACTGTGTTAGCCACTAATGTGCAGGCAAGTGCTTAACAACTAATCCTACGGGGAGAAAAAAATGATATGTAAAATATATTAGTTCATTATCAGTTTATATAGCTTATTATATATGAAGTATATAAAGCACAGAATTTATAAATAATAAAATACATAACACTCAACATTATTAATTCCATGTAGCCAATAGGCTTTTGTTGATTTTTACCACATTTTACATCTGTACAAAACCTATGGTTTGAATGGTGCTGCGCCCTAATTCACTGACTTTTTCTCCACTAAATATATTCATTAAATCGGGTCGGTGACCTTCTGTGAAACTATTTCTTTATTTAAGATTTATTTATTTATGCATAAAGAACTGGGGTACAGGTCCTCCCCTGGTGGCACAGCGGTTGAGCGCTGGGCTGAGAAGCTGCCTGCAGCCTCTGTAGCACCAGTTTGATCCCTGACCACTGGTGAGGGTCCCACATGGCGTGATAGACCTCTACTGCCGTGTCCGCTGCTCCCCTCAGCAGTGTATTTCGTCAGTCTGCCTGTTCTGCTCTCCGCTCTGTCTCTGGTGAATCCTCTCACCCTCCCTTGCTTCTGACTGTACCCAGTACTTGTATAAATAAATAAATAAATCTTTAAAAAAAAAAGAAAAAAGAAAAAAAAAGAACTGGGGTACAGTAGGCCAGAGATGTGGGGGGTGAGAGGGTTCACCAGAGACAGAGTGGGGAACAGACAGGCAGACTGACTGAAACACGTACTGCTGAGGGGAGCAGCGGTCGAGACAGGAGAGGGCTGCTGCGCCATGTGGGTAGCTGCTTGGCCAGCCTGGGATCAAGCTCGTGCTGCAGAGGCTGCGGGGAGTTTCACAGAGCTGTGATTTACCCCTTGCGCCACCAGGGAGTCCCTGTCAAACTATTGCTAGTCCTCATACAAATTATGTTATTACCTGAATTCTTTTTGAGAATGTTCCTTGTTTGTTCATGAGTGACTGCTTTGTTCATACCTGGGATTTGTTTCAATCTGGTACAGTAGGATGTACCATACCAGAAGTGACTGTCATGAAAGAAGTTCATACAGACCTCCCGAAACAGGAGGCGTGGAATGCCGCGCAGGCCCTGGGGAAGCACCAGGGTCAGTAAGGAGCCCCGAGGACAGGGGAAAATGGGCGAGAACCTTCATGGACAGGAATGGGTGAGGCGGGGTGAGCAGGCTTGGGATGGGTTAGTCTGAACAGTTCCAGTGGCTCTGGCACACAGGGGCAATCCCTGGCTATTTAGTATGTTTCCCTCCAACCTGCGCCTCCGAACCATCTCTGGTGCTTCCCCATGTGACCCCACATGACAGGGTCTTGATATCTGTGAGCATAACAAACTATGTTTTCAGGGGCTTTGCCATACCTAAATAATAATAAGACCTATATTTTAAAATGAACAGGCAAGAGCTGCTCATCCCATTAAAACTAATTCACCCCATAGGAAACTGCTCGAGCCTTGGCTCTGGGTCTGCATTGCTGAAGCATATGCTGATGTGACAACATGTGTGCAGTGTGGACTGAGCCTCCGCAAAGGCTGGTCCCGCCAGAAGCCACCTGGGATCTTGACCAGGATCATGCATTAGGAGCCTCCACTTGAACTCCATGGGTGATCTCGAGGGATGCCTGGTGGTTGCACAGCTGGAGTTTATTGTATGCCAGGGCTACCTCCATGAACACAGGGAGATTCCCGTCACCACTCAAGATGCTTCTAAATAAGCAAAATCATGACTCGGAATCCTGTGACCCTAAGAAGTAACATCATCTAATTAATAATAGATCTCACTTCTGTGTAGGGTTTACCTCTCCCTCATGGCATTTGATAGCTCAGAATAAAAGAAAAGCCCCCATCACTGCCTTTGTTGACACATGACAAAGTGGCCTGAGTGGGTGGGGGATGAGCCATTGCCCAGACTGTCAGCGGGAAAGCGCTCAGGGCCGTCTTGGTGCCTTCGTTCCCAAGTCTGTGCAATTTCTCCCACATGGGATTCTCTTTTATTTCATTTTTTTTAAGATTTATTTTATTTATTTGTTTATGCATACAAGAGTTGGGGTGTAGGCCAGAGGTGTGGGGGGTGAGAGGATTCACCAGAGACAGAGTGGGGAACAGAACAGGCAGATCTACTGAAATATACTGCTGAGGGGAGCAGAGGGGAAACAGGAGAGGTCTGTTGCGCCATGTGGGTAGCTCCCTGGCCAGGGATCAAACTCAGGCCTCAGTGGCTGGTGACAGCTTGACAGTGCTGAGACTTTAATCTCTGCACCACCAGGGAGGCCCCTATTTAATTGATTCTAGATTTAACTATTTGATCCTATGATAGCTTATGTTTAGTTTTAAAATGGTTGTTTTCTATTTCCAATTCTTTAGAGGCCTCGTTGTATAGGTTCAGAATCATGTTTAAGTGGGCCTACAACTTTCACAACAAGCGATTTTTGCCAATATCAGGCTGTCATAAGACCTCAAGTATTGTCTTAAATACTTGTCCATGCCACGAAGTTTTTAGAAATCACTTAGAAAAAGTAAGAACTCTTTTTGTTTTCTTTACTTACATTTTTTTCTTAATAATGTAAGTACATGTAAAAAATGTGTCAACTACATTGTACCATATATGCTATCGCTGAGCTTCTTAAAAACATATATACAAGCATTGATCAAAAAAGACAAACTCATGCCACATGGATGGAGTTGGAAGGGATTTATGTTCAGTGCAAAAGTTAGGAGGAGAAAGACAGATACTGGAGAGTGTCACTTATAAGTGGAATATAGAGAAATCAAACAAAGGGTTGGATGAAACCAAGCGGAACTGTAGAATCCAGAGCAGGGAGTGAGGGACAAGATCAAGGTGTGGAGGCAGCACAACGGGTGGTGGTGGTGGGCTGGGTGCTTTGGTGGAGGGTGCACTATGCTAATGACACATGGTGGGGGGAAGGACCCTGCACTCCCAAAATACAGCTATGTAAACCAGCAATGCCTTGATAAAATTAAGTGATTGATTACAATTTTTTAAAAGATTTATTTATGCATACAAGAACTGGGGTACAGGCCAGTGATGCGGGGGGTGAGAGGATTCACCAGGGACAGAGTGGAAACAGAACAGGCAGATTGAAGTACACTGCTAAGGGGAGGGGCAGGAGAGTCAGGATATCTCCCTGGCTGGCCAGGGATCGAACCCATGCTGCAGAGGCTGTGGACAGTTTCACAGCGCGGCGCTCAACAGCCTGAGCCACCAGAGGAGGCCCCTGTTCTACTGTTTATTACCCATGTGACCTCAGGCAAGTTATTTAACCATGCTAAGCTTCAGGTCCAGATCTATAAAAAGAAACCAAATCAGGATAATACTACTGCGCATTAAGGCTGATTCTGGGTAGTGAGTAAACGAGAAGATCTGTTCAGTGGACTGGGCATATATTGTATTTGCCTCCTCTGAGGTGGGGGTCGAGGCATGGTCCAGGGAACTTCACAGAAGGGCAGGCCATGATGTCATTCCCACAGAAACATGGCTACTGCACAAACATGGCTGCTGGGCAAAGCAAAAGTCATCATGAGAGAAATCCAGCAGGGCCAGAATGAGGCCACATGGCAGTTCTAGGGACAAGTAGCTGATGCTGACCACATTCTGACTTCCACCTCAGGGCCCAGCAACCTCACTGCCCTGTAACCAGTCTACTGCCAGGAGAAGGGAATGCTTTTCTTCTCACTTTCAGACACTGCTGAGCTGGAGGAAGTGTGTGCGTGAGTGCAAAGGGCTGAGCCAGACTCTGAGGACTGTGAGTGGTGACTCTAGCCATTCTCGCCTGCTGGTGACAGAAGGAACGGGGGAATTTTGCATCATGCCCCTTATGGCACCATGGCACACAGCGAAGCTTCAATAATTGGGGCTGCTCCTTGATTGATAATGGAGGGTTCAGGTGGGGGTTGTGTGGTGAGGCCCTCTGAGGGTTCTGCTAACTAGTTAAGACATGTTCCCAGAGGGCAACTCCGAGCGTAGGGGCTCAGTGCTGGGCTAACGTGCCCTGGGTCGGCTGAGTCTCAATCCCTGCAGATCGACGCTAATCTGCAAGGGTGGTGGGCAGGCCCCTGGTGAACGGAGGGGCCAGGGCTGTGGGACAGGTGGAGTTGGCTGAGGGCTGAGCCTGCAGCAGAGCTCTGAGGGTTGCCCTTTGCAATCTATTTCAAGTAGAGCTTTTAAAGAAGCACCTCTGTGATCTGTGGGCCTGGAAGGTCCCTCTTCATCATCAACTTGAGGCACATCACCCTGCACTGGCCATCAGGGCACCCTGTGGAAAGGCCTGGGCCCCTGAGACATGCTAGCCCTCTGGAGGACTGCCCAAGGACAGCAACTAAGTTCCAAACATCAGCCTGCTCTTCAGTATCCCTTCCCACCCAAATGCAGGAACGAGGAGACCCTCTTCTATGAGGAATGTGAAACAGAGTCAGGAGCTTGAGCAAGGCCTCTGAGGTCAGAAACAGGAACAGCAAGCGGCTTAGATGGTTTTTATTCTGTCAGGTCTGGAGCAGGCCCCAGCCACACAGGAGGGCTCAGAGATGAATGGACCCAAGAAGGGTGGAGAGCCCATTGGCCCCGAGACACACAGATTGCAGGGCCAGGAGGAGCACGGAGGTCCGTCACGGAGTGCAGAGGGAAGCCAGCAGAAGGAGGAAGGCCTGCAGACACACCAGCGACGTGTAGGAGCCGGGCATGTGGACAGGACCCCGGGATATGATAAAGTCCTTCAAAACAGGAGGCTTTTCCTGGGGAGGAGCAAGCTCTGGAGCGGGGTCGGGTGAACCTTTCTGTGTCTCCCTGATCCAGTCAGTGAACTCGGTGAGCCTGGTGAAGACGCTGGGGAAGATGGGCCAGCGGCACTCCGCGCTCCAGCTGGACAGCCCCGCCAAATACCAGGTGTCATTTAGCTGGCAGACGAGGGGCCCCCCAGAATCTCCCTGAGGAAAGAGAGGGTATGAGGAGTGGGGGACTAAGAAGGAGGGGGACACACATTGTCTGCACAGTATGAAAGACTCCCCTTGCCCTTCAGAGCGGAGCACAGGCGGCCTCTGTCGAGGTGGCGCTGTGTGTGAGCCATCAAATCCAGGCAATTTGAAAAATCCGGACACAGGTCCCCTCTGCCAATCTCCTGGATCCAAATATTAAGGGTGTGTCCCTGGGCCCCTTCACACAGCTCTGGAGGGCACTCTGAGCAGCCCCTCCAGGCTGGCAGTCACGGACCCACCAGAATACTTCGGGACCCAGGTCTGGACACTGGCCTTCTGCCCTCCCAACGTGTGGAAGAAAGCACAGGCTAGGCGCCCGGCGCACCACTACCTCAGGCCAGGTCTGCCTCCCACCGATCTTTGTTTTTTTTTTTTTTTTCCAATTTATACAAGCACTGGGTACAGTCAGAAGCACTGGAGGGTGAGAGAATTCACCAGAGCCAGAACGGGGAACAGAAAGGGCAGACTGAGGGGAGCAGCGGGCGGCAGGAGAGGTCTGTCGCGCCATGTGGGACTCTCACCAGTGGCCGGGGATCGAACCGGCACTGCAGAGGCTACAGGCAGCTTCGCAACCCAGCGCTCAACCGCTGCACCACCAGGGGAAGCCCCGATCTTTGTTTTTAACTAGTTCTCTATTTCCTCCTCAATTTCTCAATTTGAGCTTCTTGAGAAAATGCCAAAGCTGTTGGATTTGCTGAGAGGAGAAGGTGTTGCTGTGTCCAGGCTGGTGGAGCAGCTAGAGCTGCAGGGGCTCCCAGAGGAACCCCAGGGATGCTGTGTGTCACCCCCACAGGCAGAAGAAGGCGCCTGTCACCAGGGGACGTAACACTTTCATTCCAGAGGCCCCAAAATGGGGACCGAGGAGCACCCCTGGGTGCAGGAGACATTGAGGTGACAGATGACACAGCAGGCATCTCTGAAAGGAGCCAGAGGAGGTGCCCAGGAAGAGCTGGGAGCAGTCTGCCAGCTTCTCCAAGCCAGGGCTGGAGGGACAAGCAAGACCTGAGTCTGGAGTAGGCAGGCAGACTGAGTCTGGAGTAGGCAGGCAGGTGTGGCCAGTGTGAGGCATGAGTGAGGCCAAGGGGCAGCTGGACCATGGCGGGGGGGGGCACTGAGGGACACTGGGGTGGGGGGAAGTGACATGACCTGATAGGTTCTAACTGGACAGGAGGGCGGTTCTGGGCAGGATAGCAGAGGCAGCGTCAGACAGGTAGGAAAGGGTGAGCACTAGGTGTGCCATAGCTGACCCTTTCTCTCCATCTAAAGGAAAATAGAGCTAGGTAAGAAAAGCAGGGTGGGTGCTGATTGGTGGGTCCTTGGGGTGTGCAGGTCAGGAACAGGGAGAGAGAGTGGGGACATTGTAGGGCCCTAGGGAGTCTGGTGGAGGACACCCAGGTGGTGCTGCGGGGTGGCCAGTGGGAGGAGGGCCGAGGCAGGGTCACCAGCCCTGCAATGACCCAGGCCCAGGTGAGTGACAGGCACAGAGGCCCAGGGGAGTGGGCAGGGTGAGAAGGGAGCCCAGGGAGGGCACGTGCAGGTGCCTCTGGGGTGGCTCCTACTGGGGCAGGCAGGCTCAGCGCAGGGCGGCGGGGGTTGGGCAGGAGAGGAGACACATGCAGAGTATGTGAAGGTAGGAGCAAGGCAGTGTGCTTCTGAGCCTCCCAAGGGGACAGAAAGCGCTAGAAGGAAGATGCAGGAGAAAGAGAGGAACTCGAAGGTGAAAGCCGGTGGGGGTCACATTCCAGAGGAGGCACAGCTTCTCCAAGCACAACTGCCTAAATCTGGGTTTGCCACCTCCCTGTCTGGGCCCCAGATTCTCCCCCATATGGAAGCGAGCAGGACTGCACTCAGCGACAGAGGCATGCAGAGCACAAGGACCCACAGGCATAGAGACAATGACAGCAAACCTAAACAGTTCACAAAAAGGGCGAAACACGCGTGAGAAAGCGGTTGTGTTCCTCATCAGCTAGAGCAATGCACAGTAAGTCACAAGCAACGGTTAAAATAAAATGATGGAGCAAACAAAGGACCACAGGTTCCAAGGCCAGCCGAGCCCCACTCTGCTGGGGGAGCGGTGTAGACCGCTCCGGGCAGGCCGGGATCTGCTCTCCAGTCTCTGTCAGGATGGATGTGTGCGTATCTGGGGCACCGTAAGTTACTCCAGGGGTAGAGCCAAACTAAAGTGCGAGGCCCTGCGCCCTGAAACACAGGCCCAGGGAGGTCACAGCAAAGCTCTCGGCGATGTGGCGAGTGGAAGCTACCCTGAGGTCACCCATGGGAGAAGGATGCGTACACCGTCACAGAGCCACACCACAGAACACTCCGCAGCCATACAGAAAGCGCTCTACACCACACCCACGTGGACTCTCTCTCTCTCTCTCACACACACACACACACACAGAAAACCCCACGACCATCCCTCCCCATCATCACCCCACTTCCACCCGCTCCCAGCAGCGGCTCCCAGAGGGCTAGATGCCAGGTGGGGGCTGTGCTGGGGGAGGGGGCACGAGGAGTTCACTTTGGGTGCTGGTTACCTTGAGACAGGAAAGGCCCCGGGATAGGGACGGGGCAGGACTCAACGACAGACTTGTTCGCAGGGGCTGGTGAACTAGAGGTTTAAGAAAGCCTGGTGACTCCAGGCCCGCATGCCTGCTGCTGGCAATGTCCTTAACCCTGGCTCTGGTTCCTGTCATCTCTGTAGCTCATCAAGCCAGCTTGCTGGAGGAGCAAGGGCCTTGGGGCCCCACGGGAGCTGTGGGCACACTGCTTCCCTGAGATGCCCTGCGGGACCCCCGAGCTGCAGCTGATGGGCACCCACAATTAACAAGTCCATTCTCCTTGCTTTCTCAGCCACAAAAGCTTAACTCCTTTGTTCTCAAATCCCAGTCCCAAAACCTACATAGATCCTTAACCCCAGTTCTTTGGGGAGTCCGTCAGGCCTAGAGAGGTCTCCCCGGAGCTTTTTCCTTACCTTCCTTCCTTGCCTGTGCTCATGTCTGTGTCTGTGGAGTCCTCGTTCGAGCTTGATCAGACGGTTCCAAAAGCCCTCTCCCAGGTTTGGGAGCAGACCCCTCAGTCCATCCTTCCAACTCCCAGTGAGTGGAACAGTGGACAGCGGCTGGTTCACCCCAGCTTATCTACTGTGTTGCGAGAGGGTGGGATCAGACTCAGGGGCCCCTGGATCCTCTTCCCTGTCTGGTGACAATGAGTGTGCCAATTTCTAAAAACGCATCCAACAGTCTATGGGTAATGATGGCCTTTTTTATATGTGCCCATGCTCTCAACAAAGCTTCTTAAAAGATAAGACAATGGATGAGGAGACCAGTCCTCTTTGGGGGTGTCTAAACTCTGGCTCCAACACAGCAAGCTAGGTTGGGCTTAGGAACAGGAGGTGAGGGGCCAGGAAGAGAAGACAGAACAAGAGAGTCCAGGGGTGGCGTGGAGGGCGAGGCAGCCTTCGCTCCCGCTGGAAAGCTCGTCCCACTTACTTGGCAGATGGCCTTTCCTGTCAAGAGGTCCGCAGCACACAGCATGTTGCCAGGCACATTAATTCTGCCGGAAGCTGGCATTTGGAAAAAAGACTTACAGACATGGGAATCAATGATGCCGACATGTGCCTGCTGCAGCTTGTAGGGCTTGGGCAGGAAATCTGTAGGGAAAAGGTGTCAGATGCACATTGGAGCCTGGGAGAGTCATCAACCCCTCCCAGACCTGCTTGCTGATGCAATGGTGGGGTGCACGGTGCTCTTGCAGCTACAGGATGGGGGAGCCTCTCAGAGGATGAGCCAAGAGGAGGGAACAAGACATTCAGGACAGACAAGAGCAAGGGAAGCGGTCTGTGGTGGGGAGAGCAGGAAGGAAGTCAGTGTGACTATAATGGAGTGGGGGTGGGGCCCTGAAAAAGATGTTGCTAAGTCAGCAGGAGCCAGAGCAAGCCGGCCTCCTCACTGGCCTGTGGAGTCTGGACTTCATTCTGAGCACATGGCAAACTACCAAAGGGTCAACTTTTAAAACAATGTGGCTGCTGTGTGGAGACACGAGTAGAGGCACAGGGAGTTGGAGTTGTAGCCGTGATCCAACTAGGATGGGGTCCGATAGTACAACAAAAACAGATGTGACCCTACCTCAAGGGGGGTCACTTCTAGATCCTGCTCCCAGATCCCATCAAGTGTCCCATGTGGCAGCCAGGGGCCGCAGAGACAGCTCGCTTGTGGCCAGAGCTGGCCATGTCAGGCCTCTATGTGTCTTGGGGACCGGCCTGACGAGCCACGGCTGCTGGGGGAGGCCACGGAGGACAGCGATGCAGTGAGCTCCTGGCCTAGAGGAGCTAGGCCAGTTCCTACCTGCTGACCCACCTTGGAGTCGCCTCCTTGCTCTGTCATTCCTGACCAGTGACAGTAGATGCCGGGAGGTGTTTTGAGAAATGTTGGCAAGTGGGCTGCTTTCAAGTAACTGGCATTTAGCACCAGCAGCTGGCCCCTGGCGCTGGCCTGCCCAGCCGGCCTCCATTGAGATCCCTTGCCCCGGCTCTTCAAATCATGCCAAATTTACATTAGACTTTTTTCACTGAATGTTATGTTTCCCTAAATCAAAAGCATCCATCCTTGAGTAAAAATCTTTGCCCAACATTTCTCCGTTCTCGGTCTAAAAAATAGATGATGTCAGCAAACAGTCAGAATGGGCAAATTTTACTTAAGGTATGAGGGAAGTGAGGTTCATGGAGGTAAGTGGTCCTTAGCAACAGCCCCTAACTTCACCCCCCAGGCCTGCCTTCATGTCCTTACTGCTGCCCAAGCACCTGCCATGCAGCGCGAGCTCAAGAGCTGTTAGGCGAAGCTCTGGAAAGTCGGGGTGGAATCCTGAGTGGCTCAGAGTCAAAGAGCCCATGCTCCCAATTCCAAAAGTTAGAAATGCTTAGACTTGGGCCTCCCCGGTGGCGCAGCGGTTGAGTGCTGGGTTGCGAAGCTGCCCGTAGCCTCTGCAGCGCCGGTTCGATCCCTGGCTGCTCCCCGGCCACCAGAGGAGGGTCCCACATGGCGCGCAGACAATAAATAAATAAATAAATAAATAAATAAATAAATAAATAAATAAATAAATCTTTAAAAAAAAAAAAAGAAATGCTTAGACTTTAGAACCACAGACGGAAGGAAAGTTGACACTTTAGAAGGACGTGCTATCTTGGTTGGAAGGGGCCCGCAATAGCCACTGCACCTCCCCCTCCTCAGCCCTGACCCTTCTGCCAGCCCCGGCCACGCTCACCCTCCTCAGTGACCATCCCCCAGCCAGTTATCCAGCAGCCCAAGCCAGGGGCCAATACGTTGCTAGGGTCCATGAGGCAGACGGGGAGGATGTGGGAAGTAAAATTCACAGACAAGGACAGTTGCAACAGCGTGATGTCGCTCCCCAGGAAGTAGGTCTTGTTAAAGTCACTGTGGACGAAGATTCGATATACTGTCATCTGCAGGCTCTGCCCCGTGGGCTTTTGTAGCTGATTGTACCCGAGCAGGACCTTGTAGTCAGATGGGTTACGGGACCTATGGTAGGGAGGCTGCGTTATAACCTGAGTGCTGGCCCCGCACAGTGGGTAAGCCCCAGCGCCCCACCCCCCCATAAGCACCCAGACCCCAGACTCCACCATCATTCCAGAGCTTTCTCTTGCCTCCCTTCTTAATATTCCCTTGAGATGGGTGAGACTGACATCCACAACTTGAGGACCTCTGTCCTTTAAATGTTTCTGATTTCCCAGCCTGCCCTAGAATCAAAGGAGCAATTTGCCTGCTGGAAAGAAACGTTGGGGCCACATAGAACTACACCCCTTCATTTTAGAGGGGAGGTGACTTGGCTAATTGCCAGCTCTAACCAGAGCTCTGAGAGGGTCCCCTTTGATTCTCAAAGCTCCAATTTCACAGCCCGGAATGACCCCTCCCCTTGTTCCCAATCAGCACAGCTCATCTTCTCAAAAGTCTCGTCCCCAGCTGGTAAGAAGCGCCCAAAAGGCCTCTCTGGAATGAATAGATGAGTGCGTATAACTGGACTCCTTCCTTTGGGAACCCAGAGATATTCTCCAACCCAGGGCCGGCCTGGACTGGCCCTCCGCCTGGACTCTGTCTCCCACGAAGCCCTCCCGGACACTAGGAGCCTAGCTCCAGGCCTGCCCTCTCCTGCAGTCTGACCTCTTTGTCCTGTATCATAATAGTTGAGTTTGTGTCTCACTTTCCTGATAAGGCAAGAAGCTTCCAGGTAGCTCTTGCATGTCTCATTCCCCACAGTGGGCTTCCCATGAGCCTGGCACCGTGGGTACTGAATTAATGAACAGAACCCAAGTGGGGTCTCAGAGTCAGCTGCTGCCAGGAGCTTTGGCCTCCTGACTGGGGAGTGTGGGGTTCGCTCCACTCCCTGAGGGCACAGAGCCAGCCCAGGGTAACCCTGAAGAGTGGCCTGCTCTCATGATTCTGTCTCACATTGCCTAGGACAGAGGCCCACTGCTTCACACCTCACTCAGGTTGGTGGGGACAGCAGTGACCACAGGTCCACTCAGGCCCACAACTCTGCAGAAGTGACAGCAAGGGCCAGGGACTGGCTAGACACACAAAGTCCTGGGGGCCTCCGGCCTCTGAGAGGAAGGGACTAGAGTGTGTATGTGACAGCCCGGGGGAAGCCTCTGCAGTTTTGCTGGGGGTGGCTTTGAGATAGCCTGACAGGATGATTGTCCACACCAGCCCTGGGCCAAGCCTATGACCAGAGACACACCTACCACCATTTCAACAAAGGAAACTGAGGCCCACTGACCTCTTGTGGAAATGGCTAGAACTGGGTGAGATGTGGAAAACAGTCCACCTTGAATGGGGACAGAATTTAGACTCTTAGTTTAGCGAAGAGAAAGAGCGAACTAGAAGTAATTACTTTGGAACTAAATTCTGTTTCTTAGTACACTGATAATCAAAATTAGAGTGAGTTTCCATTTCATTATTTAAAAGTTATATACTAAAATTGAGACAACCACAGGATCTTAGTAGGTATTGCCACAGTGGGAGGGGGAAGACAGGGCCGGCCCAGAGGGAGAGAGGCAGTAAATGGCTTTTAGCCTAGGAGCTAGGACTCAAACACCTGCAGCCTGGAGTCAGCGGCAAGCAGGTGGGCTGCCTGCTGGAGGGGACTGCTGAGTTGCAGGCAGAGGCAGCAGCACACAGAGACATTGGGTGGCGGCAGGTGAAGGATCCAGACACAGTCTAGCCAGGAACCCTCCCCCCCTCACGCTCTGCCCCATGCCACGATGTGCTCACCACCCCCATCCACTCCAGCAGCTTAGCGGGTGGGAGAGAACGCACTTTTGGAAGCAGTGTGCAGCTGAGACCACCCAGAAGTGATCGATGAGGGCGCCCCCGCAGATGTGTCTTTTCTGGTACAGCAGGCTGATCTGCCACGGCCACCGCTGCTCAGGTGCATCTGTGCCACCATAGATCTTCCCAGTGACCACAGGCTTCCCACACACTGGAAACAAACCCAGACACGCGCCACCCGTGTACGGGCATCAGCCTTGGTACCTCAAACGCCACCGCCAATGGAACCCAGGGTCACCACAGCACCCCCTCTCACTTCGCAGCTGGCAAACCCACGGCCCAGGCAGGAAGGGGTGCTTGGCCCATGTGGCCCCGGCCATGGCAGCACTAAGGAAGGAAGTTGTGCGTGTGCAGGATGGATGTGGGGGAAGGGGGCAGCCTCAGGGCGCGCATCAGTTTGGCTATCCCTCCAGGCTGAGAAGGGGCTGCCTCAGACACAGTGTAGACCTGTTAACTAACAACTGTGGTTTCGAGTCCCAGGAGGAAGGTCTGCAGAAGGATGCTATTTGCACAAGGTCACTGGTGATTAATGGGGACGTTCATCCTCTCCCCAGGTCCAATAGTGCAGGGAGACGGAGGCCCAAGGGAACGCACTCCGCTTCCCCCAAAGGAGTGTTTTCTATTCTCAGAGAGGAGAGGGCAGGTGTGCACCACCCAGGCCATGCAGGACCTCATCTGGACTGAGCCCCTGAGGTCACCCACCCCATCCTCCACTGAAGCCTCCCAGACCCCACCCGCTATAACCCGTAACCCCTCCCCCCAGAGCCCCCAGGCCAGGGAGAGGTCCTGGGGGGTGGGGGGGGGAGGGCGGGATAGGAAGGGGGTTAAAGGAGGGTCCGGAGGGGCGGGACCTTGGCCGGTCGCTTTCCCGGGGCGCTCACCTGTCTTCGTGGTGGAGGCTGTCGCTGCGTTCAGCAGCAGGCGTGGCAGCCAAAGGCCCGCGGCGGCCAGCGCCCAGGTGCCCAGCCAGCGTGTGGCCGAGGCCCAGGCCCTGGGGATCTTCATCTGGCCGTTCGGTGTCCGGGACCGAGCGGACCTCACGCGGGGCGCCCCGGGGCCTCCCGGGAAACGGCCTCCTTCCATGGGGGACCCCTCCACCTGGGGGGTGCTCGCGCTCTGCGCAAGGCCTGGGAAAGGAGCGCCTTGCCTTGAGCGGGCCCGACCCCAGGTCCCCAAATCACCCCTGGAAGCCCCCAGGCTGATGGGGGGCGCAGAAGGCTCAGAGGCCGCTCAGCCCAGGGGCCCCGGCTTGAAGGTGGAGATGTCGGGGCAGTTAAGGCGGATGCTTAGGAACGTGCATGAGTGGCCGGAGGTCAGGAGCTTACAGAAGGACACGCAATATTTCTAATGTGCTTCCAGGAGCCAATGAATTCCTCTGGAACAACTTGCCTCAGGCTATTCGGTCTGGCTTAGCAAAGCCAACATCCCTTTCTGGAACTCACTCCCAGAATATATTAAGAGCTGACATCATCAGCCATCAGAGGAAATCATCACATTCACGAGTCTTTTTCACACTCAAGAGAAGGCAACTCCAGCAGGGGATTAATGGGGGCCATCCCTGGCCTCTGCAAAAGTCCCAGATGCAAAACCGTTCACACAGCCCATTACACTGTCAACTCACAAGTCAAAGTCTCTTCATCTATATCTAAATATCATGGTCTCCTCAGCGCCTCTAAACCCTTCAGTCAGGTGAGGGTAAGGCTCCCAGCTGAAATCCACAGCCCTTTTCCCTAATTCTCTCCCATGGGTAGACCTATAAAGAGAGAGGAATGACCTATCCCAGCCCATGGCAGCGGGCAGGCAGGCCAGGACCAGGAGAGTCCTCTGGGTGAGCAGGAGGCAGGGCTGGGAACACAATGCAGTTAGTGGTGCCTAACAGTTTCACGTCCTGGACAGTCCTTTTGGGCTTCAAGGACCACAGGAAAGCTTTCTGTGGCTCTAGTCTTAGCCTTTGGATTCCTGGCCACCCTTACTTTTTAAAATAACTTAAAAAAAAACCAACTTGACCTTCTCTGAATGGTTTGTTTTCCTTTCCTTCTTCTTTACTTTTCCTTGCCCTTTGATGTTTCCTGAACCTTAACAGGACATTTTCAAAATCTGTGAGCACATCTGTAGTGTTGCAGAGATTTATGTAAAAGAAGTTCTACATTTTCCTGTATAGGTCATTCAGTCCTAAATGGATTGATAATATTGTGAATTACAAATGCAATCACTATATTTGAAAGAAGAATTTCAAAACCATTGTTCTAAATTCATTTGAAATGATGGAGACACTGTAAAACTCATGAAGAAATAGTAATTATCATGTCCCTCTTTATGGAAAATGCACATTTTCCACCTGAATAGCTCTGCCAGCTTGTTTTCTGCTCACAGAAGTGTGAGGGTGCAGCTTCCATTTTGTATTTTCTCTGCTGCTGTTGGTGTGAGGTAGCGGTTTCTGCTGACATAAACTCCTCAACAAACTTATGGTCCTTGTGTGGACGTTACATTAAACAAAGCCACTTGTGCAGTGGACCCTGCATTTCAGCAGATTCCATATCCTGCATTCACTCAACCATGGTTCAAAAATCCATACGGTGTAGTTAGGTCTATGATGGCTCTGCCTGTACTGAACATGGATAGGTTTTATTTCTTTCATTATTCTCTAGACAATAACTGTAACAACTATTTAAGTACCTTTGATATTGTGTTGATATTAAAGGTAATCTAGAGATGATTTAAAGTATACAGGAGGGGAGACTCCACCACCCCTGCCTGGATCAGAGAGACCCTGGACCCATGTTGGGGAGGGTGCCAGAGCAGCCAAAGACTTCGTGACCTCCCATGTGACCCCTCTAGCCCTTGCCCATACTGGTGATGCTCTGACCTATGTTGGGGAGGGTGCCAGAGCAGCCAAAACTGTTGTGAGGCACTTCCAGCCTCTACCCAGACCAGCAGAGTTCTCGCAATCTCCCACAAGGCCATGGCAGTGCCCACCCAGTCCAGTAGAAGTATTGTGATGTTCTATGGGACCCCACCAGAGCCTGCTTGAACCTGCAGCAACGTTATGACTTCCCATGAGATCCTACCAGCACCTGTGCAGACTGGTAAGAGCCCGGGTCCTCATCAGGATGTGAATCAGAGTGGCCAGAGGCCTCACAGGCTCCTGTGAGGACCCCAGAGGCTCAGTCAGGTAGGAGGGAACCCTGACCAGTGAGGCGGGAGAAGCCACACTCAGAGGAATCCCCACATACACCAGCTGGGTTCCGCAGCTAACAGTGGGCAGAAGGAAAAACCCAACAAATAGCAACATGAGTCTTCAAATGAATAGTGCAACACACAGAGAAAAAAATCTCCAGAATCCCAACTCATGGACATGAGAGCCATGTTCTCCCTGTCAGATACAAAGTTAAGAAATGCAATGACAAAGAAAGTCAAAGAAATGGGAGAAAATGCAGAAAAGCAAATGAATGTCCTTAGAAATGAAATCAATGAACTGAAGGCAGAAAATGAAGCTGTAAATCAGATAAAAATGGTGTTCCAGGATTTCAAAAGAGAAATAAGGAATGGACCTCATGCGGGGCACTCTGGCGCTTCCCGGGATATGGGAGGTTAAGGCAAAAAAGAAAAAAAAAAGCATGCAGGAGGTTATGAATGGATTATATGCAAATATTACACCCTTTTATTCAGAATAAAGTTGCAAAAGTAGAATAGATCAAGTGGAACGAGTCAGTCTATGCAGTGTATTAAAGATGCAAACATACAAAGAACCCAACTAGGGAAGAAAAGAGAGAAATGAAGTTTGAAAAAAAATTGAGGAAATACCCTAAGAACTATCCAACTCCATGAGATATCACACTTCTACACCTCAAGCTCTATTATAAATCCGTGATAATGAAAACAGACTGATACTGGAACAAAAATAGACACATAAACCAATAGAATAGAACGGAGAATCCAGAAATAAACTCACATATATTGCATATGAACAGTTACTATATGACAAAAGAGCCAAAAATTTACACTGGAACAAAGATAGCCTCTTCAATAAATGGTGTTGATGAAACTAGAGTACAGTCTCACACCCTCCAACAATATCAAATGAAAATGGATCAAAGACTTGGATGTAAAACCTGAAACCATAAAATGCATAGAAGCAAACACAGACACAACAGCTCATGACCTCAGCACTAGTGATGCAGTTAGAGATTCCTCCCCAAGCACAAGCAAAACAGAAGGGAACATAAGAGCTGGGACTACATCTGCTGCAGGAGGCCTTGATGCCCCAGCCAGATAAGACACTGGCAAGCAGCGAAGGTAAAGGGCCTCACACCGTGGGGCCGAAGCTAAAGGGCCTCACACCGTGGGGCTCAAGATTCCTTGTGCCTCACACCATGGAGCTGAAGATCTAACATTCCTTCATTTTTTGTTCTTGGTCATAAAGAGAGACAAAATTTCCCAAAAAGTACATTGGGCTATAAATTATATGTATCAGTAGACTGCAAGCAATTGGCATGGAAAATTACCTGTTTAGAAATTAGTTACTATACAATTCGGCCCAATTAACAATGGGAGACAATTTATTGTATATATCTGACAAGCAATCCAGCATAACAATTATAGTAAGTCCTTCTTTTGCTTTTTTAGAAGTTTCCTTTTTATTTAGAAGTTTCTTAGAAAAGTTTTTAAATGAAGTTAACTGTGTTAAAAAGTTTGTAGGTAGTTGGGCCTCCCCGGTGGCTCAGCGGTTGAGCGCAGGGTTGCAAAGCTGCCCGCGGCCTCTGTGGCGCTGTTTTGATCCCCGGCTGCTCCCCGGCCACCAGAGGAGGGTCCCACATGGCGCGCAGACCTCTCCTGCCGCCTGCTGCTCCCCTCAGCAGTGTACTTCGGTCCTTCTGCCTGCTGTGCTCCCTGCTCTGACTCTGGTGAATTCTCTCACCCTCCTGCGCTTCTGACTGTACCCAGTGCATGTATAAACAAAACAAACAAACAAATAAATATATAAGTAAAACATGCCTCTATATAAAAAAAAAAGTTTGTAGGTAGAAAAAGTTCTAATAGCGGAGTTGCAGCTGGTCACTGACTGAAGGCCATGTGAATAAAATAGTCTTTTGATGCTTAGGCTTTAGCTGATAGGAATGCACTGGCAGCTATCCACTGTCTTAGATAATTATCTAGCTGAAAAAAAAAGTTTTAGTGTTAGGTCTGGTTTTTTTATCTATTAACCTTGAAGGCTACCGTCTAGCTGGGACCCGTACGAGTAAGGAGTCCATGGGAATAAAATACACTAATTGTTTCTGCTTTACACATGACAATGTATTTTTTTTTCTTTACTAAAAATGAATAAATAAAGACCTGCTGAGTCTCTCGGCAGAAGATACTTGCACCTCATTCAAGTGTTAGTGTCTCCTCACTACCTCATCCCCTTCCCCTCAGTCCTTTCTTTTTCGCCAACGCTGTCTCATCCTTTCAGGAACCCCTGACACGACATTTTGCCAGAGGCTGGTCTCCAGCAAGTGGCGCCCGAACAGGGACTTGAAAGGTAAGATTTTTTTCCCCCGTGCGGGGACGGCTAGGATCTGCTCCATAGGGTAGGGCGCATACCCGCCTGTAGAGAAAACAGGTTTGAGGGGAGCAGTAAGTCAGAACCATAATAAGGCTAGTGAGTGTCTTGTTACGTGATAAGGAGAATGAGTGTCTTATCGTTGAGAAGCCATTGGGTCATATTGAGTCTAGGGAAAGAGGACGCTTTATTGATATAAGTATACTTGTTAAAAGAGGCCTTAAAACCTCTCATGTGCAATTGGCTAGTTTCCAAAATTTTGTTGTAATGTGTTGTCCTTGGTTTCCAAGGGACGGTACTCTGGATGTAAGAACCTGGGCCAGAGTAGGAGAGAAAATGACAACCTATTATACTCTCCATGGACCTGAGAAGGTCCCCATAGATGCCTTTTCACTGTGGGGTCTGCTACAGGATATGCTAGATCAAGGGTCTGAATTAGAGAAAATAAATAAAAAACTCAGAAAATTATGGCTGT